CTCATCCCGTCAAATATGTGGCCCAAGAAGGTGATTTCCTTGAGATGTCCGAGCTATCTCGGACTCATTTGTAGGTATGGAAGATATGTCTATGGGATGAATCGTCCCCCCGTCCTGAGACAAGTCAAGGATTGGATCGACTGGACCGGCTGGAACAGTGTATTCGGCGGATTCTCTTTCCAAGTCGCCTTCGGCCTCATGATCGTAATTCTGGCTCCTCCCGCGGGAGTTATTCATGTTTCACGAAGGTATCTGGAGTTTATCTCAACAACTACCGTGCTACCCATACTCTCTACTACACCAACAAACCCGACAACCAGGACATTTTGGGACATTAGTGGTAATTGATCTGAGTTGTCTCGCATTGCTCGCAGTTCGGTTCAGGTCATGTTGTACCATTACTACTCGCACAGACCGAGGCTTTGATCCGCCTCCGTCAAAGATATTCGAGACGAGCTCTTATCATGGATATTGTTTAAACCTACAATTTTTGCGTTTATATAAGTTCTATCAATCCTGGGCTTCCATGGCGGTTCGTCAGATCAATTATTTGCTTCGAAGTGCTGTGCTCCATTCCGTTGCTGTTAGAGTGATCGGTTTTCCGAACGCTTCGCAACAATGGATCTGGAATTATCATGTGGGTGAGTGTTATGGGATGCAAGGTACTCATGTAAGTACCGAGCAATCATTGGATAACTCGGATATATCAACTATCTCGCCGTCTGTGATTAGTGATTGTCATCTGTGATTGATGAATAAAACATTCTGCTGCAACTTGGAGACACTGTGCATAGAGCGCATCGTGGGTGATGCCACTATGGCTTTGCGTTTACGGCTTTCTGGAGCCTTTAACGCAGTCACTTTCATATATGCTAAGAATCAAATCAAAACTCTGCTCTATACATACGCTTTTGACACCAATTCTAGCCTAGAATTTCTAGGTTGTGGGTGCCTGTGAGAACGAATTTTACATAGTGTTTCTCCGGAGACTTGTCTACGCTGTAGAAAGTATAACTATGTAGGAGAAGGTGGCGTAATGCTATAGAACTGCTTATAGCCTGGCAATTGGCAGTCGAATTGAATTTGGACGCATAAGCCTGTCGTGCTCGGCTCTGAGAATCAAGTCGGATGGTATGCTTGAAGCGGTGTTGGGCAAACTCTCCTGTAATTTGCGGTGTATGATAATGTCTGATTAAGATGAACCAAGCAGAGTCACATGAGTGGATCATATGGATGAGACGAGAGCGTGACAAACGTTTGCTTTCGGGTGCGTAGCTCAGGGAGTATCCCGAGCATTCCATTAGATAAAATCACTCTAATGAGTTAGAGCTGATCGTCGTGGCAGCACAGACTAAATAGCTGAACAGCGTTCTCTGCAGTGACGAATTCTTTCTTTTTTCCCAACGATAGCCAGTTGAAACTTAATCAAAACGTCAGTGGCCTTCAATCATTCGGCAAGCATTCGATACAATCCGTTAAACAGATTGCTTCTGTAGCACACCATCCGAATCATGTCTTGCCGCACCAATAGCACACCCTAGAGTGAGTTGAATGCAACACACTCGAACGAATGATCAGTTTGGAGTAGCTCGGAAACTTGCTCGCGATCTCGATAACGAGAATACCAACGATTGTCTCGCTCCTTTGGGAAGTACAGGAGATTCACTACGCCTTCCTTCTCAAGACTTTCAAAGGTTCCAAGCTAGAACATCGACACACCCATTCCAACTCGAACTCAACCGTTCACATACAGAGGTCACCGCGCCGAAGCGAGTAGTCTCTCCACAGTCTCTCGTAACTCTATGGTTTCACGGAGAGAAGACTCCAGCGAGGATGTACTGGGCATCGCGTCAGTGCCGGATTTGGCGGTGCTCTTCGCAGTGTTAGTATTCGTTCGGCTCTCGAAACTCGGATGTTCAGGGTCGAAGAGTTGACGTTCCCGGCTAGCCAACGCTAATTCCCTGCAGGATTCTATGTCAACAGGGGACTGGTTGTAATCACTCCATGACAGTGGAAAATGTGAATCATCGCTCAACGATGCTGACATCCGGAGTCTCGAAACAAATTATCAATCACAGGCCAAGTTTTGCAGTGCAAAATTCGCACCTCTTCGACGATATTCGAATTCCTTTGAGCGCTCTTTCGTTGCAATAGGAGCTGCAATCGGAATTGTGTGTGGATAACTCGTCTAGATGTAAATATAGATGGACGAGTAAATGAAGGAGAAAGAAGGAATTGGTTCTCACCTATCATGCAAAGCTTTCTGCCGGTTCCTCAAATTCTTACACATGACCTCTAATTCTCTGGCTACTTCAGCACCTCTTTTCTGGGACCTTCACGAGTATGTGACAAGATCGGGGAGATCCTCGCCAGAATCGACCCAGCTCACCCTGCTGTGAATGTTTCCCGAGCAGATGCAACTTCAATCTCCGCCAATCTCAGTTGCAGATTGTCTCTCTCAAACCGCAAATGGCTGACCTATAAAGAAAATTCTCAGAGCTAGACGGAATCGCAACTACGAATGACATCTTGTGAGGCTTATAGCCTCATACCATCGAAGCGGAAGGGAAATGAGTTCCCACCTGCTCCTGTAGATTTATTCTTTCATGCGTGAGCTCTTTATAGCTATCTCGTCGCACGGTTTGTAACTACGGAATGACCGCACGACTTTCCTCACAATTTTTCATTTCCGGATTGGCTTCAAAGTCTGAGCAATTTCGTAATACTTTCAACTCTCATTTCTAAGTGACCTGCAAACTACCCTCAACCGTTGGGGCTCAACGGTGTTAGACACTCCCAAAGCTTTCGCGAACTGCCCCAGAGTCAGCTCTGAACGGCAGTGGGCCAGCAGCTCGTCTGCACTAGGTTCCATTTACGCCGCATCATCAGAAAGGCAACGGGCCCTCGTTTGATATAGTCCCACCCTTTTCTTGTTAGCTCATCGACCAACATGAACTACAGCAAGATTGCCCTCAGACTCACTTTTTCCTTGAGAGTTCTCACTTGCTCCACCAACCTGCCCGCTACACCATCGAATTCACTCCGAGTTATCGAACTCCTCCTTATCTCAGCTATGGCTGCCGAGTTTTCGGCTCTGATAGTAAGTATCTAATGTGCTCATCTTGACGGCACACCTTTCAGTGGTGCACCTCTTTCTCATGTTGATCCCTTTCCTGAATGAGTTGGGCGTGTAGTTCGTCAGCGACCGCAGCAATCTGCTCTAACCTCTTCTCGTACTGATATGAGAAAAGCCCAGGTTGTGTGGGAACGACCTTCAGCTATTGAATTTAGTGACATGCTGGTATTGACAAGGAGGAACCATATCGGGCCACTCGACCCTGTTGAAGTGTCGTGAAAATGAGTTCGCCTGGATCTACCTCGACGATCTTGGCCGTGTATTCGTTGGCCGCTTCTTTCCTCAGCGTTTCCAGTGTACGCGTTGCTGCAGTACTCCGTCGTGCATTCCACGACCCAATCCGATCTGTCGTGATGATGGGCCATCCCCTAACGAACTTTAAGGTTTGTTCCTCGGATTCAGATCTTTCCTCGAAGTGTCGGCAGCGCGGTATTGAATTATCTACCGCCATTTTCGGGGCTACGTTTGCGATGTAGCAATTCGAGCTAGCGGAAGAGTAGTGGATGCATAACGAGGAACATAGGCGAAGCTTGCCAGTTATGGAGTTGCCATAGCCACAGTTGTATGAAACTGCGAACTAGGTTTTGTCTCACTCGGATCCTGTTGTCGATGAATCTCCGGCTTGTTGGCTCATGCGATGATCGTATGATGCACGCGAGGGCATCTGCGGAGCAGTGCCGAGATCACAATCCGCCATGCCTGGTGCCTCATGAGAATATACTCACTTTTTTTAAAGGCGGCGGCGAACTCGGCGAACCTGATAACTACTATCAATGATCTAGTCCAGTAAAACCGAATGCAAAATGGGTATACTTTTTCTTCACACTCCTACGGCGGGAGTCGCTGAGGCTGGGCGTAAGGAATGCTCTCACGTTGACTATCCTTACCTACATCCGTCACACTCGGTGGTGATTCAATCTCCCCATGAGCAGCTAAGACCATGAGCCAAAGTCAACGACTGATCGTCTTCCGGTCACATTGACACCATTTCGACCCGAAGTCCCTTACACTGATTGACAAGTCGACACTGAGGATCAAATGGCAATACAAAACGAAACAGATCATTGACGTAAAGTTGCTGTGATGGTTCATCGACAGTCAACAATCTCTACAGAGGTATCAGACTCGGTATCCTGGCGTCTTGCTCTTTTGGTGAACTCCTCAACTTCCGAGCCTTCATCACCAGAGACTTCTCGGATGCTGACACTTAGTCTGGTTCTTTTGAGGAAGTCCTCAACGCTGCCATCGGCATGGTGCGGGCGATCGACTGAGTTTTTCAGTACGGTGGGAACCCCGTGGAACTGCCAAGAACGGAATCATCGACGGAGAATCGACTCCTAGCTCATGTAGGTCGCAAGGGGAACAAATGGGGTTCGGGACAGTCAATGAACGTAGGTGGTGAGCTGATAGCACCGCACTCACGAGTATACTCATTGACAATATTCTCAGCTAGGGGAAAGTCAAAACCGAGGAAACGCACCACCACACTGCTCGAGATAAGAGCCCCTAAATGTCCCCGGTTCCAGACTCACCCACTGCCTGGCCTCTCTTGAGAGTACTAAGACATCTCCGGAGCTGAACAGAATCGGTGCCGGAGTGACATCGACTCTGCTGTCCCCACCCAGGAGGAAGGTACATGGCAATCCAAGAGCGAGTATAACCTAAATAACTCCTATCGTCAGGCAGAAAAAATGAATCTACTCTTACCAATGGTGAATGATCACGTGCTTCAACATCATCCTTGTGGCCTCCCAAACGATCGCTTGATCGATGACTGTGAAAGAAGTTCACCAGAGCTGCCTCTGCCTGATAACCTGATTGGAAGTCTCGGCATTGTTAAAATATCGCCGACTTGGACTTACCGTCTTCTGCGAGTCGACTCCCACAAATATCATCTGCAGCCTTTAGTGCGTTATGATAGATATCGCAAACCCATTGAGGCATGTCTGTTAGAAGGACTCGATTATGGAGAGCTCAGCACGTTAAACGTCCTCCAATAAGGCGAGAAGTGAAATTGGCGTGTACGGGCATGAGCTCCAATCAAAGCATGAGATGTATGAAAATGCAATAACGTTGCTATCCCCACTCACTAATTTATGCGCCAGGACACTCAGTAGGTATGTGTACATTCGAACAACTACCGAGGGCTCAAATTCATCCCCTAATGAGAATTCCTTATCCCTATAGACTAAGCCAAGTACCATTTACGATAACGTGTGCTTATAAAATACTATTCAAACGGTGCGTATCAGGTTCTCGAGATGATTTGCTCCGGTTTGAGAGTCAGCAAACCAATGATATTTATTCTTTCCTCTTTCCGTGAACTGTTGAAAGGCCTCGGCAGATGCTCAGACGCTCCCCCTACCAGATGATGAAGTCCCTCGATACGACCGCCGCGTCCAGTCGTAGTGGACTCCAAGCGAAGACCATCGCAGCTTCCGCAACAAACAAGTATTCAACTCCGTCCTATTGCTCCCGCACATCTGAGTACAGACAAGAGATAAACAGGCACGCTCGCGGACACAAGAGAACTTCTGATTCGGTCTGAGTTTATCGGTCAGTCAGGAATTTATTTTTCATCCCGCACGCATTCACCAACGCACGAATAGACGCTCCCCACTCACCTGCTGATACTCCTCAAACATATCGGATCGCTCCTCTGGGGTCGTGATAGGATCCAAGCTGGTGCTATGCGGGCTGCTGATGCAGTGTTGCAGAATCTAAAACCGACTAAGTCACGAGCGCTGGAAACAGAAATGAGAACCATCACAGTTAGTATGGACATTATTCGTTATATAATTCACTGTGATGGAGACGTTGGAGTGAATCGTTCACTGTCAAAGTGAAAAAACAGCGTGTGACAGTTCTAGGACGAGATATCATTTGCATGCATTCAATTGCAAGTGGCCACCGACTTGTATATGACCTCGGAAGTTATCCGCTCGACTGCATCCTCACTCAAATATCTCCGCAGGAGAATTACAGCTGATCGACTCGGAGAGATCGTGCATGCTGAAAGCCAGACAAGTTGTCTGAGACAACATGGTCTAACAGGTTATGACACCTAGCGCACAAGCAATAGGTCCAAAGTTCAACTCGTAGTGAGAATATTTCATTCCATAATGTATGAAGACTCCGAAATTGACATAATAAATAGCTCGGAACCACTGACCAGTAGAACCTTCAATGTGTAGACTACTTTCAACACTGATCATCCGAGAGAATGTCTTAAACAGTTCTTACCATTCGGCCGTGCGGCCAGAATATCTGCTAAGTCCCCTGATTTCTGACAGTCAATCAGTTCAAGTTGGGGGTCGACTCGTCGAAGTGCCGCACGAACTTCTTCTTCAGAAGAACACGACCGCAAGACTCGTTCAACATCTGTATAGCCGGCATTTGATTTACACATGCTACAACTGAGTCATAATTACTGAGTGATTTCCAGAAAAATTTTCAGCCAAGCCCGGAATAGATTGTAGCCCTACGAGATACCCCCTGCGAGGACATGCGGAACAGTGAACAAATTCAGCCACAAATCATGACGTTAATCACTACTGCTCGCCCTACAGCACAATCCCACATCATGGGCATGTTAGAAACTATCATGAACCATAAAAATCCAGAGCCATTTATTCTATCCTCTTTCTTGACTTCAATACATTAGCAAGTTCCCCAGCAAAAAGAGGATGGGGCGCCATACCTAACTAACAAGATGAGAAGTATGTCGAGGAAAAAATGACACTCTACCCGGAGTCGGACAAACATTACGAACTGTCGTTGCCGTTTCCTTGGGGACGTATGCCTCATCAATAGAATGGAGGTTGTCGACTATCTGCACATCCATCACATTTGGAGCTTGTAGTGTGAAAGCATCACCTCTTTGATTTTCTGTAAGTAAACATCCTCTAATTGACGTCTCAGGCAGTTCTCATTCTCCTCCAGCAACTCGCCGATCGCCTGACGCATAAACACTATGACAACCGAGAAAACTTCAGCAACGACTATTCCAATTAGATCTTCTTCAGACCTTCACTTGTGCCTCCTGCGTTAGAGTAGGGGACAGCCAAGACGCTGAACGACTAACCACTGAGGTGCCGTTGGTGGTCACGTTACGAGTCTGGAAGCGAATCAATAGAACACGATCATCGCAATATCACAATCTCGCCTTCCTCCTAGCTTCCGCTGTTATCCGAAAACTTCCCTTCCCGTCCTCATCCGACAGAGAGTGTGTCATGCGGGCAACGACTCGCCCATCGACTCGGATGCTGAGGAACTTCGATGAGCATATCCCGTAGATACACCTCCCCAAGAAAATTCTTCTCACAAAAGCTCTCAGAGAATTTATACTATTCCAATTTCACAGCAAAGAATGACCGGAATATGGGCTGACTCCCTCCCCGAAAAGAACTGTTTCACGCACTCTGGTTTGCCTGCAGCCACAGTGAGTTCAATGCGTTGCTCTGACCTCCATAGATTCCCGGAAGGATCTGAGATGCATGCATGGATTTTCAGAACGTGAGTGTCAATGTCAAATCATCCAGCTCAGCTAGCTTACCTTCATTATGGACTAGGAATATCCCCGAAAGTCCATGTTGAGTTTCCACCAGATACAGAGAAGACACCGCAGAAGGCCCGTGGTATCTGCAACGGCAACAGCTTTCCATCTGAGTCATACAATATATAGTTTTTTATCTTGTTATCCTTTTGCCCTTGAATATTGTTGATTCTACTCCTTTTTTTATCTATTTGTATTACTGCTATAGTCATAAACTCGTATAATATATCAAAAATAGTGTCAATTCCCTATCAAACTGCCACGTACAGTAGTCGTTGCGTTCGACTAAGCATATCCACGAACCACAGAGCATCACGAGTACCATCCACCGAGTCCTTACTTACTGAAGAACATAGTTGGCACATAGCTGATCCAGAATAGACTCAAGTTCGAGGAGAGGAGTACGACTAGAAGTCGAGCTATCCGCAGCTTGAGCCGACTGGGCTATAGGATCTCCAGAAGGTGTGGTATAATATTCATTGCAACCTGGGTATCTGGAACGCCGAGAACCACCCCGAATTTCGCGAGACTACTTAGAAGCATCTCATACATACACCCACACAAGAACGCATTCTGTCGTCACGCAGTTGCTCATCGTCAGAATTTTCATAGACATATAGCTGAGTTCGCAGGTCGGTACCACCTGTAAGCGGTCTTTCCAAGACTATTATTCTCCGAGTCGCCCGAGCCGCAGTTGAAATGGGGATGGCAGAGGAAGGATCGACGCTTACCATCTGAAAACTTCACTGGACACGTCTCTCTAATACTTAGCGTATTCATTTAGTTCAGCGAGATCCAATATGACTGGGAATACGAGTAAGGTAGAGAAATTATTTATTTCTGGTTTTTATTCGCTTTCATAGTCCTATAATTTATATAACCAGTACTATATCAACTATTCCTCAAACGATGCCTTAGATCGACCATTGCCCTATGGATTGCTCTCACCTCCATGCTTGCTCAGATCGCAGACGAACCATTCGGATTTCTCATGAGACTTGTTGATCAGCTGACGCTGAAAAGACACGATAGGAAACGAATTATTGCTAAAATCGATGTCGAACTATTCGAGACCAATAAAAACAGTTAATAGTAATTTAAATTCCCGCTTTTGCTTAGGCTATAACTTATTGGTTTTTCACTCTCAATCCGAGATCAAGCTTGAATAGAGAAAATTAGCCAGTTTGACGCTGTGATTTCGAGTCGTATACAACCCCTGACGCAGAAACACCTCACTAATAATTCACGGCTACTTTTATATTCTCCACATTCTCACCAATCCCATCTCCAACTCCGAACTATGATCTGTCGGTATCGCAAATCTCACGAGATGATCCACTGCTTTCTGCTTATATTGTTCACCTCCCTCTGTACCTTGTTAGAGCTCATGAATGTGCATATCGTCAGATCCAACCGAAAATCTCTAAGAGTGAGTGAACTACAAATGCCACGGCCGAGATGCTGATGACACTCCAGCAAAAGAGAATTTCTACAGCGAGCGCGAATACGGAAAAAGTATTTCACGAGCAGCACACGACGAGGCGCAATCACGAGCATCAATTTAAGGAACCGAGATACGCTGTAGTGCTTTGCTGCGTGAGTGGAACATTCCAGCATCTTACTACCTCTCCCTCCTCCGTTTATCATGACGGTCATAGAGGAGTAGTCAAGTCAGAGTAGGATGGCGCAACTAACGTTTGAAGATCCGACCCTCTCAAAGTTGATAGCTTTGAACTACGGCCCACATCGTCCAGCAGTAATCACCATACATAGCTTCCTACAAAATTCCTTTTCATACGCACCCTTAACATACAGCTTTACAACCACCATAGTGGCCACTCTTAACACTCAATGAATTACTCAAAGCAACAGACACGAGACGAGAGAAAAAGAATACAGTAGGCTTCACAACAATACTTTCATGATACATGGTAATCATGATATCATATCTCCACCTATTCTGCATCGTTACAGCTACACGAAATGAGGACCTGTGGATAATAGCACGTACTGGAGTTACTCAGGATAAAATATATATCTTTGTCACATACACGACGGGAATAAGATTTTCCACTTTTTAATATCGACAACCTCACTTTCATCAGCGCACAGTCATTCAGCTAATACCTCGCGTCGTGACGCGAAGCCGTGTGCTCTAACACAGTAAACGAGCTCACACCTCACAGATTCGGCTGCAACGAGGCTTTCCCATCAGAAAAACTACACGCCAGTATATTTGCACGAAATCGCTATAAACTTCATCCAATAGTACTTTGATTCCAGAGCATCGATAACCAAGTCCATCCTCAAATTCAGATTCGCAATCGCACTCTGAACCCCGCTTGAGTGCATCGCATGAGATCTCTTCCGAATACGATTCTCGTTGCTCAGTAACTGAGCCAGAGATTTCCGAGTGTGAACACCTCTTCGCTATATTGAGCTTGCAGATTGTCTCAGCCAGATGAATGCAGTGTGAGATACCGTGCACATGGTCAACTATGTATGTCAATAACAGTGTCAAGTAATTCTTATCAGTTTTTGTACACTCCTGCCTGAATTCGTTCGTAAACCCTCATAAAAAGTGGGGAAACTGCTCAGCTGAGGAAGGCAAACATATATTCCTACACTGGAGGAGTCAAGCTAATTAAATCCGCCCTACGGCGCAGTCGATATCTCACCTATCATTGAGCCTGCACTAAAGTCGCGCCGAGACCCAGGTGTACGAGCATCAACTAACGAGTCGACGGAGCGCCTCCAGTCTATCTGAATCATACAGAGTATTTGGAGTTTGCGGGAACGACGGAATTCAAGGTATGAATGAGAAAACTCACAGTTTTCCCGATCTCTAAAAACAAAGATTGCCAGCCGTGTATAGCTCAGTTAGTACAATACGATTGGCAAACAATGGTGGCATTTCTCCACCCGGGAATCTCGAGTCCAGAATATGGACATTCTAAGATGATGCCCTCGCGTGAATCGCAAGGAACCTCGTGGAATAGTCGTATTCCTGTCGATTGTGCACGAGATATTGGTAATGAAAAAATTGATAATAACCAGATAAGACAACCTCGCACACCAATCACCTTCCGTCGAGCAGGTTTGAAGAACTTCCTATCGCCTCTATCGACACCTTCCCAATACCTGCTACCGAACCCGAGAGAGCATAAGCCGCGATTTTTATTACGGGAATCTCGATCTGAACACCCACTGTATGACCATAGGGAGCAGCGACAACACCTGAGATGAGTTTGCTCTCAGAATTTTGACTTCATCTTACGATGAGGAGCGCCAGGAAGTATATCACAATCGCGGAAGTATGCGTCCTCGCCATTCATGAAGAGCTGGAAAAGCTAGAAGACGCTTTGATTAAAAAGATCGCGGAATTCAGGCCTTACCTACAAGTCAGATCGGAAAACAAACGCAATAGTGAGGAAATAATGAGATTCTCGAGATTTCAAGATTTGGGCCAAGCAAGACTACGAAAGTGGGGATGAAGTGAATCGGTTCTACAAGCTAGTCCTTGAACTGTGTGGATTTTGGATGTACAACTCGTTGCTATACTCTTTGTGAGCATTGTTTTTATAAAGGTATGTCTCCGTGCAACCTACGAGCAAATCTGATAACACTGAAAAGTCAAAGGGAGGACACTAATTCATCAAGAGCCCCTCCTGAATGCTGTACAGGTCTCGACTACATATCCGATAATAGGAGATCCGATAAGGTAAAAATTTGGGCAATAAAGCTTAACAAGAGCTAAGACTCTTCGGATCAGCCCGAATGGAGGCTAGACGGAATATGATTTTCGGTCGCATTCGGGAATTGATACAATCAGAGTCCGACTGTCAGATCTATGGAGAGTCAAGTTGTTATTTCAATAGATCGAGGTGATTATATATAAGAAAACCTAGCTGGGTCGTGCTTATAGTTTTTTGTATCGAACTTCGCCTAGCTCTCTTCATGAAACCGATAGGACTATGGCAGACTTCAAAGCCCTAGCCGAATATTTCCATGGAGGAGGACTTGAGATGATTAGGAGGATGCTCGGAAAAGTCGTACTGAAACTGAATGAGTCGTCCTGTTCAATGAGTTTTGTAATCCCCTCTTCGCGATGAGACTCGTTGGATCCTCGTATTCCATTAATGCATTGTGGTGCTGTTGCAGAGAGCGAAATGTACAGGCGATTTATCTTCGCAACAGCCTCTTAAACAGAGGCTTTCCGAGATGGAGTCTATCCGACTAATCGATGAGGATCCCGATGGAGCTGATGAGAAAGCATTTGCTGGATTGACCTCTGACTGTTTCTGCATGGTGCATAGGGATTCAGATCTTACTCCTACTGTTCTCGATCTGGGTTGTCAATATCTCGAGCTGAACAATCCACCTCGAAATTTTTTCCGGTACTGCGCCGTGTTCAACCTGAGATACTCCCGTTTTTCACGATGGCTGCTACCTCGCGGAGGATGTTACTCCTGCTACTCTGTGGTGTGAACATGGTAATTTGCTCAGTATTCCGAGGGACCAGGATGATCTATATATCATCTTCAGACGATGGGGTTGAGGCGCCGTCGAAGTTTCGTGTCAGTTGATGACTGGGGAGCGCCAAATTCGGTTGATGCACTGGTGGGGTTTCGTGTAGAATTACATGAGCGAATTCGACCCATGTATCTATGCGATAGGAATTTCTAAGATAGTCCTCCGCTTTTTCGTACCGTAAACTGTGAAGAACCTCTGATTGGCGCAGGTTCCCCGCGGGCGTTCACTGCGATCTCCTGAGGATTACCAGTCGATAGTTCAGCAGGTGAGTGTTCAAGGGTAGTGAAGCCATGTAGTGAACGCTCAGGTCGAGGACAAACTAGATAGCAAAGACTCGCTATCGAGGAAATCATTGGAAGATGTAAGCCTTAGTAAGCCGAAGGTGTCTCGAGAGCATATTCCACAGAATGGACCACGTACGATAGTGCTGAAACGACGAGATCATCAGCGGGAGCGTTCAAACTTCATCCAACAGGTGGGATCCTGAGATTCTCATTGATATGATTGCACTTCGTTATTTGTTGCTGTTGTGCGATTGCCCACGTAAGGCTGTGTCGACAATGGAGTTTCACTTGTGATATGAAAACCAGTAATGAAAACATATTTTACGACTACTGCATAGCGCAAGTATCGTGTTTTTCACAGAGTATTACGCCACTTCTCGTGAAACGGGTGAAACTCCACTGCTACTTATATCCGTCGTTCGCCCTAGCTCTATATCGGTTCATAATTGATGAAGATAATACATATTGATATATTTTTCACTCTCAGAACTCGAGATGTTCGAGGTTTCACATTTTCAATCGTCGAATTAGAGTCGAAGTTTTTTCCTTTTGGACTATCAAAATCGAACACACTGAAGTTCCACCCGTTTTTCGTGGAGTGGCGCGAAACTCGGTGAAAAACGCGATATTCGCGGTATGAAGCAGGGGTGAAATATGTTTCTCACTAGTGTTTTTCATATCACTGTATATGTTTTTAGGGTTCGTCGAACCACTATGCGTCGCCATCGGCGGTGGTTGAGGAAGTTGATGGAGTGTTATCGCTGGTGTCGGATTATATCGACTTGGAGAGAGGAGTAGGGGATAAGCTTGAAAAATATGCTCAAGACTTAGCAGCTGCCATTGAGTAGGCCAAGGTGGAGATGGCAGCATCTCTGGCATGCATCTTGCCGATTCTCGTCGATTTTTCCTCGATTAAACATTATACGGCTCAACTAGTGCTGTCGATTTAGTGGTATGTATATACTCAACCTCGCAGTGAATGGAAATAAATTATTGTTCTCGGCCAAAGACAATACTAAGTATACCGGTCTCAGCTCTTAGCATCATCTGTATATATTCTGATATATAACAAAGCACGTATACATCTCGTGATATCACTCTGTACAGCAGTGTCGGGATATATGGTCGTTTTCTTCAGCTGAGCTCAGAGGCTTCCTTATTGATTATACAAGTTTATATACGAAATCGGATAGGAATGTACAGGAACCAGCAAAAATTTCCCAGGATTTTCATTTTGTGATTAACACATGTAGCTGACTATCTGCATTTCTCCCATACTGCTGTGCAGCGCCTTGTCATTTTTCGTCGATGGGTCTGAAGCATTTGTCCCCGTGCATGATGAGCAACTGATGGCACACTTGACATGATAGATAACACTCGCTCCCTTATTTCAGTTCGAAGCTGCCTTCCGTGGTGGTTTCTCGTCAAGGAGTTCATCTGACTGCGGAGGATCTTCAGCAGTTCGCTGACGACTATGAGCAATTGGGCGAAGATTTGAAGGATGACCGGAACATTTTGGCTGCAGTGCGGAGATACCTCGAGCTTCTTTCTGCCGATCCGAGATCCCACCGAGCCCTGCGGAAGCTGATGAAGCCGCTTGACCGCCTAGTGCACAATAGCCATGCTTTGCAAGATGTTCACCGGGAACTCAGACCGATGGTTGAAGGTCTGCAGCTGAGTGATAATGCTGCGATGTCTCTGCATTTTGATGAAGTGCAAATCATGGATCGTTTGAGATCGATCGATCATGTTTATTCCGACTTATCGTCGGGCTTTGAATCCCTCGCATATAGTGTGATAGTCAGTGCTATCTAGTTATGCTATTCTACGCAAAAACGACCGCGTTGAGAAAGGGCAATATGTCTTGCGTTGAGCAGTGTTGCACGCATGCGCAATGGTTGTCTATTCAATGACTGAACTACTTGAAAATGAGTTATTTTCCATAGCCTATGGGGTAATTGACTCATATAGTTGCTCAGTGTGGGCGCGGCGAGTATTCAACATAGACGAAACTGTGTGATAGCAAAAGTGCTTCGGAATACACGATTCCAAGCTCAAAATGGCATTCATGTGGTGATTCGCTCCGCTGCGATTTTTACAGCGCGCCTTCTAGTCGTTGTTCATTGCATCATGTGTTGTCTTTTTCCTTGACTCTTATGCGATTGTTACCCTCTTCATATTGTACGTTTCAGGAGGCTTTGTACTTCACTAACTCCATTATTATTAATGGGTACGTTTTCACGAGGTCTACAAGCCGGTGCTCGATTCGCCAAAGCAAGGGGGAACAGTGTTTGGGCGAAGGCGTAAGCTGTGGTTTCTGCTTGACTGTTCACATTCATCTCTGTCAGGTATAATACCAACTTCTGCAGGACCATGGTTTCGATAGCAGCCCCCCGACTGTGTGGCGAGTCGCCAATACAGGGATATCCGGAGCAGATGAGGTCGAGGCTTGCGTGATTCTAACTAGGTCTCTTGAGTGAACTTCCAGGTCAGCCTCTTTCGTCCCCGCTGGTGGAAGTCAAGAATTTCTTGGACCGACTGGTTCGGTATCTTTACTCACACTCGAGATTCTGCAGGAGACGGCGGAAATCCTTCAAACAGTAGGTTTCTCATCTCTCATTTGTGGTAAAAATTATATCTTTCAGATTGTATATCAATCAAGCAACCAAGCTATAATTATATACATGGTACATAGTGATGAAATATTCTCAAGCAAAGATATTTCCGGAAGACTCTCCCATCTGTTGGTCAATCCTCCGTCTCTATCATGTGTTGCGGTGTGATAAGCAAGTTTCCGAATGGATGTTATTTCTCAAACTACTGATTTTTCTCATACTTTCGCTCTACTATTATGAATTGCAGTTATTTGCGGTATGCTGAATCATGCGTCGCGGTAATCACGTTATCCGCTTCGCCAAGGCCAGAGGTTCGTCTCTCTGGGATGTCGAGTAAGTTGTCGTTGATACACATCTCACGCTTGCTGCATTTCGGCTCAGATATAATCGTAAGTATGTGTCAGCTTGTCGTAAGCTTCTTCTCGAGACAGGTGAGTGCCCTAGAGAAGGCTTCGCTGAGCAGCATAGGTGGGTATTTAGAAAGTTATATTTCCCTGTTATCGATCAGCTCAGGGGTGGGGAGTTGATTGTTGGCCAAGCATTGACCGGTTCTGATTCCAGCCCTGTGGACGGCATTGATCTCGATGACGTCACTGAAGAACAGGTAACAGTAGCAGCGTCATCTATGCCCTATGGACTGTGCTTTGATTTCAGTTGGTTGCGTGGAACATCATTTCCTTTTTGGGTGGTGGTATTAGTGCATGGAGTAAAGAGTGAGTACCATACGAAGGAGTATTCGTTTTTTGAGCATTGGTATTTCAGATTGGGCAAGTAAAGTTCGACTTAGCTACTATAATATGTTATCATGATAATCCGTTTCGGTCCGTCTCAGTTCCCTGCCTTGTGTTTTTTCGCTTTGCTTGGCTTAGCGTCAATAGTTTCAGTTGTTGTTGCTAATGGGTCGCGGCAACCACTTTGTTCGTTTCGCTCGTGCCAGAGGAGCCTCCAGTTGGGCTACCGAGTAGATTACTGTCGATGACGTCAGTCCGTTGTGTTATCCCGATAGGTACAATCGTTGCTTTACCTCCGCTGTTAGTCGTAATGTGGTGGCGGTTATGGGCGAGAGCCCTGCCCAAGGGTTTGCCGAACAGCGCAGGTGAGAATTCCCTCGTTGACATTTGTATCGTTCGTGTCGATCATGCTTGCCTCCGTTCAGAGGAGGAGAACTGATCATGGGTCAAGCCTTGTCCGGTTCGGATAGCCAACTTATGGATGGTGTGGATATGGAGGACCTTACGGATGAACAGGTTGGTCAATGGTCTTAGATTTCCCACTAGTGTCGTGTGCTATTAGATTGTAAGCTGGAATATGATAACTGGCTTCGGTCCCGGCGTTGGTTCTGTGCCCCCAGAGTAAGTTGACGATACTCCCACCGTTTTTGGTATTATCACTCGCTCTTATTCGTCTGGTCTCGAATAGTTGCCTTATCATCGGATAGATAGTTTGTCATGCATTTGGTAGAGTGTCGAGATATGACCAGCTGATTTTCAAAAAAGGTCTGTCTATTTTTCGGTTGCATTGTCGTCGGTCTCAGATGTTGGTGAGGGTCCAAGCAGCAGATCCTCCGATGATATGAGCCGCCAGATGTTATCAACATGAGTTTCATTAACTATAGATGAGTATGGTTATTTGGTTGAGTGGATGTCAATTTATTGGTGTCCTGTACAGACTTTCTCGATTTATGTGATGCTACGTGATAGATATGTTAGCAAGAGCAGTAGGAGATTCTTCCTGGGCTTTAGTACAAACATAAATTGTCGTTCGCAGAGGGGGGTTCTGGGTCGAATCGTAGGTATCCCGTCTTTTAGTCGACACACGTGAGTGTTCCAGAGGAGCCTTCGCTGAATAATCTAGGTGGATATCACTTTTCTATTTCTCGTTCATATCGTTGATTCCGTTGGTGATGGAGAGTTAAGATCGCTCCAGATCCTAGTCCTGCTGACGGTGTTGATCTTGATGATGTCACTGAACAACAGTAAGCAAAAATTCTTAATGACAGTGAACATTGGCAACTTTTTTCTTGTTATTTTCATGCGCAATATTATTTTTTGGTACATTGTTGGACTTCGGGTTCTTTCTAAATTGCTGTCCTAACCAGTTATTGTCATTTTCAATGGGTTATTACGTCAAGGGTATGGCCGCAGGCGCACGTTTTGCCCGAGCCCGTGGAGCGTCTGCGTTTGCCCGGGCGTGAGTTTCCGTCGTCGCATTTTGGCTTTATATTGTGTCAGGTACAATGCCAACTTTCATGCTAGATCGATATCTACTTTATCGACATTACCCCGAATAGTTGGAGAAGCACCGATGCACGGCTTCGCCGAGCAAATACCGTAAGGCGTTATGGAACTAGCAATCGACTATGTGGAGGTGTTCGTCAGGCCGCTGGTGTCTATGAGCATGTCCTGTGAGATGACCTCGGCTGGAGGGTGTGCTGCGAAGACCATACCTGAGGACGAGCTTGAAGAGATGATTGCTCTGGTAAGAAGTTGCGAATTTTGTCGAAGTGATAACTTTGTCGTATTTTAGGCCTTTCAATTATCTTCCAAAATATTAACAACATCTGTTATGATTGATAACAACATTAGCTCCAGCATTATCCGCCGTACAGGTACCGTATCTTGCTGAAATATCCTGAAGTGGTACCAGGTAGGTATGTTGACATGAAAATTGTCAAGTCTGGTCATCTCAGCTGCATTTTTCGCAATCTATTTCCGTATCATGTGGTGAGTTCAACCGTGTTTCTGAGATTCGATTCCTTGCGTAGTTGTGTTTTTACATCACGCATGCCTTCGCAGCATTTCTCATAAAGCCATCCAGTAAACTTCGACTGCACGCATGATTTTGGTAGCTGATCGTCGGGCCTTTATCCCTCGTTGAGCCAGTCGTCCGAGGATCCGTATTTCTCCGTGTAGTTTTCTCTCTCCTTATGGCTGGGAAATTTGTCTTCAAAGGGCTTCAGGCGGGTGTCCGGTTTGCAAGAGCACGGGGAGCGTCATCATGGGCAACAGCGTAAGGAGGTTGTCGTTCATATCTGTTCGTCATTTTTCCTTTCTCGTCATATTACTTTATTCCGAAAGTTCTTTGAGCCGTGGTTGTTCCGCACGTGGTCTTGTTTGTTCGGGCGATAATGTTGAAGAGGTGGGGATGTACGTGCTCTATTGAAAATTTCAATCGCCTTGTTGGGCGCTTGAACCCATTACATGAACTAGCACATGGATTTCTGTGGTGTATAGCAAAACGAGTAACTAGTTGTTTAGTTCTGATATTATATTGAATATAGCGTGCTCCTATTCGATCATATAGTGTTAATAGTCTGGTTACAGCATTTATCTAGGTAATTTCATTTAGGTACTGTATTTAAGCAATTTTAGCTATTTTGAGTTAATATATCGAATGTTTCTCACAATGGACGAATCAGATTATCTAAATGTTGGAACAAATTCAGTCCCCAATGCCCGATTGGCTCACGCGTAGATTGTCAGCTAAGGGTATCGAATATCGGTACAATTTTTCTCCGCCGAGTTCAGGAAAACTACCTATGATCGACTTGTTTATGAAGGCGTTATATACCTCCGGCATTCTATGTGGCGTTTGTCTTGTTATGGACTCTTCCATGCTGGTTCAAACTTTAGTAGTCTCAAACTAATGTTTTTAAAGCAGGTACAATGCTAACTTCAACAGGACGTTGGCTTCCTCGACGGCACTGCCACGCGTACTTGGAGAAGCTCCTATAAACGGCTTTGCCGAGCAAGTTCGGTGGGAGATTTTATAGTGGTGATTAGGTGATACGTATCTTTCAGGCGCACAATCGCAGGTATCGTGGGTGAGTCTGCAGGTTTTGGAAGTTCAGGCTCGCTGGCTGACCTGGACGAGTCTCAAGTGGAAGATTCTCTCGCTGGCTTGGTAGGTGAAGGTCTCCTGTGATCCTCAAGCAGTTGCTCTTCTCGCTTCAGGTGAATTGTCATTTTTTATTTTTGTCTGAAAACCGCATACAAATGTTCATTTTAGAAAGCGTACACAGATTAAATAGCATCTCAGTAAACTAAGCAATCGGCTTTGTGGCGTGTGACAGTACTTTATAGAGCATGGCGATGAGTTTCTGGTATTAGTTTTCAAGTGTTGTGTTAAGTCAAAAACGTCTTCTGTTGCAGGCTGCAACTTGCAGCTGTATTCACCTGTGAACTCCCTCTGTCACTATATTGATAGTGATAGAGATTCGCAATAATAGTAGTAAGGAGTAAGAGACCGAAATATTATGCTGTACTCGAGGTCTTTACTGTATCATATTTGCTAGCTAGGATTCGGTGACTTGAGATTGAACTCCGGTAGTGGGATGCAGCGGAGGGAACTATTATGAACTCTTTCCCTTGGTTCACTCTTTTGTACGCGGGGATCTCGTTTTTATATTGTGACAGCGCATCTCGTTGCTGGTTTGGTCCATCACTCATGCTATGCAGTGCTGCAGTGAATCTTCGGTGGCTGCCGATTATCCAGCGAGTCCATCACGTGCAGATAAGACTAGTGCGGACAGGCTTTTTCAGAAGTGATGAGAAATACAATGACGACAAGCGGAATCCAGTAATAGTGGGGAACATTTCGTGGTGAATTTTATTGCCCTCCGTTTCATGCCATGAGCCTTGTTATGCTTTACATCGGCATTGGGGAAACTACTCGGTAGCCGAGATCACGATCACTATCACTACTGTATTTCAGTACCACTTCATTGATCCACAGAGCGTCCTCTTCGCTGATCATGTCGACTCAGAGTGGAGGTGAGAACACACGGGGGTGTGGTTGCGAATTGAGGAGTTTCCGCATTCCCATCACAAGTGAAATAGAAGCAATTATTATCCCTTATCTCTTTCTTTTTCGACACGTCATCACTGCACTACCATAGTGTTCGTGGACGCTCTTGTTTAGTGAGGAGGCAGCTCGGTCGGAATTTGCTTAGTTGGAAAGATATGAAAATTTGTCATTTTGTCTGTTCTCCGTGCCCTCTTAGATATGCGGACGACCCAACCTTGAGAGCTCCAGTGTTAGAGCGCAACAACGTCGGTGAGTTTTCTGCTGGTGTGGTGCATTCCTCTCCAATATTGAATTCCATGGAATGCGTTTTTTTCTATGGGATGTGATGTCTTTGATACAACTCTCTCAGTATGTTACGTATTGTGTAAAAAAGAAAGATGGTTTAACAGTATCGCGCACTACGTCATCGACTGTGAATTGTATCTGATGGTAGGTATGGGTATGATCGTGTTGAACTCTGATAGCATCGCGTTTCCCATGGTGAACTCTCTCTATCGCCGGCTGCGAAACTTAGAGGTAATCATACTAAGTAGCTGGAAGAAGCGTCTATATTCGCTCTGACGGAGTTATTCATAGTTTTCGACCGGAATTTCTATGCACGTGGAATTGATATTTTCGGCACTCTTTTTCGGGTCCCTTACGCAGTGATTGGGATCACTTTTGCTCGTCTCTGGCTGCGATTCATTTGCTCGACGATGAGCTCGCTTCCCTTTTGGGCGCTCCCAATCGATGGTGTTGGAAAAATGTTTGGTGCGGGGCTTCATGCAGGTTAACACGACAAAAAGGCTGGTGTGCTTGACGAGCTCTCATCGAGATAAATTCGCGGGAGATCTCCATTTACAAGACCTGCTCCTAATTGCTCAGGTGGGACTGGTTATTTATGCATCCCTGCGTTTGGTGAGTGCATGAATGTGCTACATTTGTTGCAGAGTACTTAGCTTGATATCGAAATGTCTCTAGCCATGGTTGTTTGTTAGGCATCGCAGTTGAGAAATGAAATACCACGATATGCTTTGGAGTTCTTCAAAAATTTGTAATGCCCGGGGAAAACTTCATGCGCTGCTGCCGATTGTCTTTGCTTTTTTCCCGACATTAACATTTTGATAACTCGTCATGTGCTGCAATTATGGTTATACAAGAGAACAAACTATCGGTTTGAATGCTCTTAGGGGGTGCTTAATTTTTTTTGTTCTTCTCTGTCTACTTAATCTGGTTAAAGTGGTTTTTTGTGATGTCTTCACTTGACGGAGCGGAGTCGTTGTCGGTGTCCCATTGATGCTGATCTTTCCCAATGATGATATAAATCCTACATTATTATGATATTTGACAGGATAGTTTATTGTCATTTAGCTACAGCGATAGATGTTCACAATTCCCTATTTAAACTCCATATTACGTCCTAGTGCGAGAACCTGTCCTAGTGTATTAGTCTATGTGCACACCATTTACGTGTGAGAGGATTTGAATCAGGTTCGATCTGAATTTGATGCTCTCTGAATATCACAAGCCGTTAGTGACACTCTATAATGGTGAAGTTCCAAATGCGGCTGCATCGTGGTGCGGTCTGTCCGTCGAGTACAGCGGTGCATATCATCACAGTGTGGTGCGATTCGACCAAACTCGCTATGGATTCTTCCCGGTACGCGAACTCAGTAAGAGCTGGGTCGTACTCGCTCTTCAATTTCAGGTGGCGGGTCAGTCATTCTTGCTCGCACGTTTGCCCTTTTGTATCGGCAATTACTTGGCGCTCACTGGAGAGGCAGTCCGAGGAAAAGATATCGTCTATTCTGGTGGGCGGGAGTGATCTTCTAGAGTATAATTGGTTTCACGTGACGTGGATTTGTAGGACATCTCTGCGATGGTGTTGGTTCAGCATTGTTGAAGACCTTTCTTGTAGAGTCTCCTCGCTAGGTTGCGATTATTGAAATAGGCGGTTATTGTTTCCTGCCAGGCCTTGCGAAGAACTGGTTGTCGCCGGATGCATTTCGACTCTTGGAACTTACAAGTGAGAAACAACTAGAGGTGGGGGGGGGATGGTGTTTATACAACGAAGTCCCGACCTGGTTGAGAATCAGGTTAGCGAGAGTGACGGTAGAGCGTTGATATCTGAGCACTTTCTGCATCTACCTGAAGGGTGAGAAAGTGTCCGAGGTTCTTCTTTTGACTTGATGCTCATCCTCAGATGGTCACTGGCGCCCTATGTTGGTCTTATTCAGAAGTGCTTCTCGCAGCCTCATCTGTTTGACGTGGTCGAGAGCCTGGTCACACATCGTGATGATCGTAGGTGCACATTTTTGGATCTACGTTCAATACCATTCGAATCCGGAATCTCCAAATTTGAGCAATGGTGTCTCCCGATTCCTCGTGCCGCTGGGTCATGTGTCCGACTGCTGCGTAGCAATGCCTGACGGATTTGTCGCTCAGCATCTGTACCGGATGATGTTCGTGACTTCGCTGCGACGGCGATCGACAACATCGGGCGAGGGTCACCGTTGGCGTCTCATGTTACTCATCAGCTCATAAATCGTGCGCGGAAACACATCGCGAGAGCAACCGATACAGTGTAAGCTCTCTATTGCTTGCAACGGCGACACTTAGTGACGACTTTCGTAGGAATTATCAATTTGGAGCGACGGGCATCTACGGCAACGCTGAGAAGATTGCACAAGTCGAGAAAGCTCTCGAGGACCCAGACCTGTACCAACGATACGTCATTCGGCCGGTATATCAATTGTATATGTTTGGAAGTAAGCAGTGCTACGTTGTCAGGCTATGATCGAAATCATGCAAGAGGAGTGGAGAGTGCTCCTGCGATTTTTAATGAGGCCTGAATTGGTTCGTGGACTGTATTTTAGACAAAGTGGGATGACTAGCGGTTGCGCTGCAACGAGACAATTGGTCTCCTTAGTGTTGAATCAGCATATGGCGGCTAAGCAAATCGTAGATGAAGGATCGAATTTCGCAGGGCTCCCAGAAGAACCAGAGCTGCCGGATTGGTTTGAGCACGAAGACGTGCTCGCTGTGAGAGACTCAGCCTGGACCGCGATGTTCTTTAAGTTGCATGACACCAAAAGCGAGTTAATCCCGTCGTTCTGGCCTCATTGTTCCGCCCTGGGTAGCAGGTATTTCGCGCCAGCCGAGCGGTCTGACCTACCGCTATCTGCGCATCCTCTCTTGCGGGTGTAAGTCATCCGTATCGCTCTATGAGAAACGCGACTTTGATATTTTGGAATCATCCGTGACGTTTTGGAGTGGACTGGGTCTGTTGCTAAGTTACCATCCCGATTACGATCCGAAGACTGGACTTGATCACGATCCCCGGATGATGGCGCGCGAAGTGGAGCGATGGTCTGATAAGTGAGTCCTCACTTCGTGTGTGCGAGGAGACTCTCGATTATCTTCAGTTACTTAGAGGACGAGCGTTACGAGTTGATGTCGGAGGTTACCGGTGTTCCGGTGGCGCAGTTGAAGACACGATGGACCGCCTTGTCTGGCGGATGGGGTGGTGTCATGTGAGAGTTAACCTGTTTCAAGCACATGTTTCAACTATTAAATGAGTGTTCTGTTCTGTGAGTTATCGTCACTCAGTGACGCGCGGAACCTTCTGGTTCCTCGCGTCCAACTTTTCAATCCGGGAGATGTGGCAAGGTTTCGTTACGTTTACACATCAATCACATTGTGGTAGCGCAGCGCCACCGATACGGGATCTGTTGATTCCTGATTTGGTGTTGGTGATTTCCCACCGCTCCGTGATTCCTCACCCACATTCTTGTGTCAGCAGCGTTTTGGAGTACCGGAGAAATATATGAGTGTGATTTTTCACGAACGATTATGTCTCGTATTAGGGCGTTCCTAAGGCCTAAACGTTGTTGCTGAGGATTTGCGAGTGATCATAAGAGAGCAAGCTCTGCCGTGACCTGCGTCACTGCGTCACTGCAGCATGTCTAGTTTGTCGAGCCGCCGGCTCTGGTCCCGGTTCGGAGCCGGGACCAGAGCGTCCAGTTACTACTGCTAGTAGAGCGAATGATTTATAACAGTGCGGCCACCTAGCTGTCATGGACGGCGAGTGGCCTTGTAAGGGCGTCCTCACCGGGTGTGTCACGGGTATTCAGGTTTCGCATTTCTTCGTCATGTTGTTGATACTGCAGTGTGTTATGAGTCATGATTTAATGATGCCCATATTTACTAAGTTGTCAGTTCTGCTTCTCTCGCTAACATTATGTACAGTGGAGGACGACGTGTGTCGACATCGAGTAGGAGAGGAAGCAGGGAACCAATGGAACGATCGATGCAGTCAAGACCTCGGAGTTTAACCAGAGGTTATATTAGCTCTGGGTCGGCGCCGTCATTCCAAGCGTTGCTTGTCCCGCGCGTACTGGGGCACATGTAGATGGTCCTCGAACGAGTATCGCGAGTTTCATTCAACTTCGTTTGTTTGGAGTATGCAGCGCTCAGCGAGGGGGATATACTCTCCCGTCCAAGTTGCATAACTTCCTCATGCTGATTATCACAAACGTGAATTTCTATGAGTCGTTGCGAGGTTGCCAGCTCGTCAACTTTGTTCGTGACATTGACCGTATGCCTAACTTGTATAAGCATGTGTGGAATTAGCTATCCGCAACCCGATGGGTGGAAATTTTTTGACGATTCAGTGGTGATCAGTTTCGCTCATCGTGTCAGGCAGAGAAAGCGTCACTGCACCGCAAAACTACGTTCAGCGGCCGCCGTTGCACCCGAGCACACCAAGGCGCGCAAGGGCAAGTCCAAGGTGTGTAGGAAGGGGGCGGGGATTTCCTTCGACCGTGGAAGGCCGGGAAGTCAATTAATGGCCTCTCTCTCATCAACTCTAGTTTTTGTTAGCTCTGTCGTGAATTATTTTCCATCCAACGTTGCCAAACAACTCGTAATTGAGCACTTTTAGCTCGCCGATTTCGAAACCTGTGTGTATTGACTTGAGTGGTGGATGAGCGGACAAGCTTGTCTCGGCATTTGCGGAATTGGTTATTCATATCATTGTCGAAATAAATTTTGTAATCGCCCTGAGATTTCCAGCAGCGACTCAGACTAGAGTATCACATCCGTGTCGAAAGTCGAGTGATTTGCAATGCAACTCTCGCTGGGAAGATTCCATTCTATCACTTCCGGATTCGTCAGGTCAGCTGGGAGATCTGTTAGTCTTACGCTCGATTCTCCGGGCCCGAATGGAAGTGAATATCTGAGAGGCAATGAAGCACTGCCGTCACCTGGCTGGGAGGAGGATTATGGTAGGACGATGCCAGTTGATCTATAATAGAACAGCTATTGTGTAGGTGGTGGAGGCTTAGTCGCTGACCGAGACCTCGGCTCGGCCAGACAATATGGACGCAGTGGAGAAAGGCCGGCGAATGCTGGCAGAGAGCCCCTTCCGATTGAGCAACAGAAACCTCTCCGTCATGGATCGGCGGATGGTTCACCGGCGATGAAATTGAGGGGTTATCGATTTAGGTCCCTGGAAGGTGAGGTTTTATGGGGCAGTAGTTTACAGTGTGGAGATATATGTCGGATATTATCAACTGAGCTCGTAGGCTTCCTCACTATATTATAAAAATTCACACACGGTTTTGGGTAGGTGTGCGAAACCCAACGATAATTTCCCGAAATTCTCTTCAGAATTTCCATATTTTGACCAACATATGTAGTTGACCATGTGCGTATATTGTCGGACTGGTAGTTCATGCGAGTGACAGTGTGAGAATATATGCACATGTTCAAGCACATGTGTTGGTGACAATGTGAAAATCCCGAGGAAATTCGATTTTTGTACACTTGTTCCTGAAAATAGTATATTGATTTTCATAATGTAGCGAGGAAACGTACTACCTCATTTGAGGAAACCAAACGTATATTCCAACACTCGTGAGAGGGTCCGACTATTCATGAGTTTTCCAGTATTTTCCCTCACAGTGTCGCTTATGCAGATACGAGAGGTCTAGAGCCGGAGGGAAGTAATACCATGGCCCATGGCGATCATGGGGATGAGGATCCGATGGAGAAGGCTATGCAACTGCAAAGGAGGTGAGGGAGGCAGCCCATCGGTGAATCATAGCTGAAGCGAATGTGTTGATTTTGAATGTTCGTTACCTGGAATGTTGCTCTTTTTCTATTGACGCATTCTGTAGATTGTAGGGTCTAGGAAATGAAACCATGAGACCATGAAAATTCAGTATTATGAAGCACTGAATTGGTCGAAGTTACGTTGGTATGATATTATCTGTTCATTGGTGTTTCACCCGTGATATGAAAAACACTAGTGAAAATTTATTTTATGGCTACTGCAAACCGCGAATACCGCGTTTTCACAGAGTATATCGCCACTTCACGTAAAGCGGGTGAAATTTCACTATCGTATATTTATGTTGCGTGGAACGCGTGGAATGATTATGTTGCAGGTATTTGCACAGCAAGATCCTTTTCGCGGGTCCGAACCCTCTGCCAGCTTTATGCAGAATCATCGCTACAGCGATTTTTCTAGTAATACTGAGGCACCATTTCGGGGTTGACATTATTCCATTTCTCTTCAGTTTATGGTGGTCTTTGTGAGCGCAGCTATCTACACTCATTCCACGCAATGGATGAGTGACTTGCTATGCATGCGGACCATAAAAGGAGATGCTATCACCTCTAATCCGGTGAGTGAGTTCATAGTCTTGGTTGAAGCGCGGTGATCTTATCAGTTCACTGCATTTGTTTTGTGTATCTGTCGGGAATTCAACACTTCTGTTGCCTATTGATATTGGCGAGCGCTTCAATTCAGGTGTTTGGGGCGTGGTCGGAGAGGTTACCTACAAATGCGATCGATGGGAAGCGATGTCGCTTATGGGTGCAGCTCGATCCTGACAGTCCCGTCCCGAGTGGTACAGTCGCTGACTTTGGCGCTTATTTTGCGAGAACAGGATTGGAGTGCGGTAGGCTGGGCCTTGACAGTATTCCGAGGGCATGCGTCTTTCTTAGGCCTGTTTACGGCGAATGCCTTCGGTGGGAACTGTGCTGGTGGGAGGTGTATAACGTGTATAGCAGACAGGCCGTGCTACAGCACTGTCTTACCGGAGCAGATAGACTCCCAGGATGTTGCATGGACTGACAACCGGTGGGAAATGTGGCCATGTGACAGAGTTGGCATGAACTAATGTGATTCAGTTTCCCTATCTTCCCGTCCGTGGGCAGACCTGCGAACGTTACTCTGTTCATGGATAGTCAGACGGTCATCCAGCTCACTGATACTGCCGTTGGCCTGGAGCCTATATGCTCTTTGGATGGGGCGGTGAGCATACCTCACGAACCTTGTTTTGTGGCTTCGTATATGAACTAAGCTTCTTTTTTATTCCTGCATCATCAGCTTTCCCGGTATAGTGCAGTGTGCGGTCTTTCCTCCACGTGCTGGCGCGAAACTATAGTTCCCGTCACAGTGTCAACTCACTGGTTGTCGAATTCACTAGAATCCACGACTGAGATCGTTTTTTGTGCACAGTTGGTTGATTTCCCATCCGAAAAGTTTGCATTGATTACACGGGAAAGCAATTCAGGAGGATGATTGTGTTCATTGATATCTTATTTCGATGGAGGCGATCGTGATCTCTTCGCAAGGATGGTTGCCACCTCACGGTTCGCTATTCTCAGGTGAAGCCGGGGCATAGCATCGTAATAATCGGTCTATACATTGGAAGCATAATTCTCCTGCTGCTAGTGATAGTGAGAGAGATCAGAGAATGGGTAGGATGACAGTTGCCGGGGTCGAACCTGCGATATCTCGCCTGTCAGTTTAAAATACGGAAGGAGGTACATGAGGACACAGTTGATGACGCGCTTATGGTATCACATATTGGCGAGGCAGTCGAAGCTATGAAACGAGAGACTGAATCCAGTGCAAGGTGAGTTTTTTTACAATATTTTTTTCTTGTCGATCCGCGATCACATGGGATGTAAACACCGGAAATGTTGACGGTTGAATCGTCACGCTCAGACACAATGTGGATCCGCATGACGATGCTGCAGGGCGCCACAAGGTGAGACAACTCGAAATGTCGGCGACTGGAATCTGTTGCTCAGGATGCTGCTGCTCGTCGCAGTAGAGTTTTGGCGGATCGCCGGTAAGTATGCGCGTGGCTTCGTGTTGTGAGTAAGTTGATGCTCACTTGTTAGTGCTTCTTCATCGAGCCAAGCTACAGGGCCACATATTCCAGGTAATCTTGTCAGAATTTTGCTCGCGATGATTACCTTCGAAGAATCATGCGGATTGAAAAATATGCGTTGATAGTGAAAGTGTCGCAATACTTCCTTGCTCGGTTATAGCATTATGT